TCTATTAGCCATTTTTGTTTCTAATCTCTTTCACTTCCTCGATGACATTGTTCTTAGTTGGATATTTTGCAGAGTAAATCCGCTGTGAGAAACCTTTGCCTGTGCCCTTATTTCTCATCAAAATATTTTTATTGCACGGTCAGGAGATTAGATATGAGGTCATTGAAAATGTGAAAATACAAGTTATCGTCTTGCCCGAGAAAACGCTGCAGAGGTCACTTGCAAAGGTTCCGCTAGACTCCAGTGCTGTGCTCAGGCAAGTCAGCTGGGAAACTTCCTTCAGTTTTAAAAACTTGGGACTTTACAGATTCTTCCTCTGGATTGAGTACAGGTCTGGAGAGGATGAACTGTGGGCAGCTCTGCCATCAATCAAAGGACAGCTTTTACGAGCGTGTCCCAGATCAAACTCATCCATCATAAACCAGTCATCCCAACAGCCACTCTCAAGTTCTCAGGATCTTGGCAGTGGAAGGGGTTGGGAGGTCTTGAGTTCAGCATTTCTCTAATGCTAGAATCCCCCACCACACTGACAAGCAGGACCCATCTTCCATTCTAGCGCTCCCAGTCACTGTGATCTGAGGCTTCTGCCTGAGTGGCCCCTGAGGTTGGCACACCCTTCCTCAGGAGCTGCAGAGCTACACTACGTAAGCTCCCCCTGGCATCCCCATGCCATCTCCAAAGCCGCAGGCGTCCAGAGGAAAGGCAGGCACCAAAAATACCAACAGGTGTGCTGATGGGATCCAGCCCTACTCAGCACCTGGTTCTCTAATAAGCAGAACTAATGTTTTTTCAGAAACACATGGCAAGCCAGCAGCACCCAATGCATGCTTATTCTTCCGGAACACAAACTTAGGAAAAAATCATCTGTGTAATACTTCTTAATAAACCCACTGAAGGAAGAACTCTTCTCCAAAGCACATATTTCAAACAGAAAGCACCCTGTCGGAACACAGAACTTTTAGACAATCACAGCGTTGATGAGGGGAGGGGCGTCATTGGCACACAGAAGAAATGTCTCTGTGCTTTGCACGTTAAAGCGCCCAGCACCTTGCTTTGCAGTGTGGGTGTGTGTCTGATGTTCCTGAAATTCATTCCTGCTTCCCGAAAGGATTAAGGAGACCCAGGCTGGGGTGCTGCCTGCACTGCTCACTTCTCCCGCACTAGGAACAGCTTTGTGGTTCTTCCCGGACCTTGCTTTTGGCCCCCGCTTTTCTCCCGGAGGAATAGGTTTTGTCAGGGTCTTTTTGTTGGCTGCCCTGGGATAGTTTGGGTTTAGAGTTAAGTCTCCTTTTCCAGGCAGGAGCCCAGCAGGACCTCGGGTCCATCATGGAGGCGCCACAAGACCAAGCAGGGAGCGAACCAGCAGGAGGGGAGTGAGGATGGGCAGCCTCCCTGTGAGCGGTGTGGGCCAGCAACGGCCTTTAGGGCATCCTGCAAGCATTTCCAACCTGGACTCTGGGGACGACATGTCTGTCCACATCTGAACTTATTGACAGACATACAGATAAAGATGCATGCACACACACACTTACATATCCTTATATAATCCTAGATATGTGTGTGTGCGTCTATAGCTATATACACATGTATACAGGAGGGCTTAAACATACATACACATACATACCTAAGGATAGACAGCGCTCTGTGTGTGTGTGTGTGTGTGTGTGTGTATTTAAAACTATCAAGTGATCTGTGCGATGAGGGATGTGTGTTGCTTTCGGGCTCTACGCCCTGGCTGACACTTTGGAAGGCCTTGGCTGGAGATGCAGGTGTGGACCGCATCAGGTGCTTAAGGACCTGCATGCAATCAGTAGGCTGTGGCTGCCCAGCCCCTGAGTGTGGAGGAGGTGCCGGGAACTCCTGCAAGTGAGCGTCTGGCTGTGGGAGGAAAGAGTCAGCACCCACATGAGGAAACACTATTTGGAAAGGCAGCGGCTGAGACTTTTATGTGTTTTCAAAAACTGGGCCAATAGTGAAAACTCTACCTCCATCTGAGAATGATTTTTAGGCGAAAATAAAGTTTGCTCTGGCCTGAATAAGTAAGAGCATCTCTCTTCCTCCCTTCCCTTCCCACACTCCTTCCTGCTGTGGGCTCCCGGCATGGCCAGCACGCTACCGCCATGCCTGCTTCCTAATAGCAGCACCGGTCTGTGCCCCTACGGGGGATGCCGTGTTCCTGGTTCTGCAGACTGTCAGCCCAGCCACACCATGCAGTGTGCAGATGTGCACTCTCAAAGATTCTGGCAGAGTCTCTTTGAAATCCCTCTGGCCACACCTGAAAGCCATGCTTTGGAGCTGGGTCTTCCCTGTATTTCCTGAATAACTGACTTTGTCAGCATATCATTGTCAAGTACATAGTGGTTGACTATTGTGGGTCAAAAAAATTGAGACACAAAAGGGTTAAGAAATGACTCCGGACCTCACAATTAATTGCCATGGAGCAGGTATTAAAAGATTTGACCCCAGTCCAGGACTGTCTACTTGGTCTCTAATGAGAGCCCTTCTGGGATCTTGATAGGGTAAGACGCATGACTTGGGAGGTCTGTCAAGAGCTCTGATAAAGACCAGGCAGTGGCCGGGCGCGGTGGCTCACGCCTGTAATCCCAACACTTTTGGAGGCTGAGGCGGGCGGATCATGAGATCAGGAGTTCAAGATCAGCCTGACCAACATGGTGAAACCCCATCTCTACTTAAAATACAAAAATTAGCCGGGCGTGGTGGTGGGTGCCTGTAATCCCAGCTACTCAGGAGGCCGAGGCAGGAGAATCGCTTGAACCTGGGAGGCAGAGGTTGCAGTGAGCCGAGATCATGCCACTGTACTCCAGCCTGGGCGACAGAGTGAGACTCCGTTTCGAGGGGGAAAAAAAAAAAGACCAGGCAGCAACAAGGCCACTCCACACACAGCCCCTCCACTCTCCACCTGAAGAGTGGTGGCCAGGGAACACGCATGGAGCAGGTCACCAGCGGGCCGGACACAAGGCAGCTGGAATGACCAGGCTTTGAGGTCGGCCTTTCTCAGCAGCGAGGAAGTGCTTCCCCCTCCCAGCCGAGAGGCACTCCTGTCATGGATATTTGTGTCTGAAACATGCACCAGGCCTCCTGCATATGCACAGGGTCTCAGGGAGGCACAGGTGCCAGGACAGAATTGGGGGGAGTTGGCTGAAGCTGCCACATATGTGAGGCTTCAGAAAAACTTCCAGCTGGCAGCCCGGGCCCCAATGCCAGTTCTGAGGCACATTTATAAAACTTAATGTGACCAGCCTGCTTTCATGACACAAACGGTTCCTTGTAAGACTCAGGCAAGCCTTTTCTTTAGGAAGGGAGAGACAACTTGGCTACGAGCTTTGTGGAAGCAATGTTCCCTGAAGACAGAAGGGCACAGAGAAATGACAGCAGGGGATGTCGCCCCTGGTAGAGTTGGGGAGAGGAACAGAGGAGGACATTTCTTGCTGAACCTGATCCTAATAGCACAGGTATTGAAGATTTCATTCATTCCCTGGGTCACCTTTCCTTTCAGTCAACTTCTTCCCAAATCATTAACAGAAGACAGGACCTTTCTGTTGAATTTATTCTCCAAGTCTCCTTTGTACACCTTCCTTATGTCCCAGGCCCCATCCACAATACAGATCTGAGTTTAAAAAGTATTAGTTGACGATAGAATCTGGACCTGTAACCATCATCCTATGCTGCCCACAAACACAGAGGTCCTGGAAAAAGAGATACTGTCTATTACGGAAATATATATATATTTATAGGACCACATTTGTTTTTAGATCTATTGAAATATCTCCCCTGCTCAAACACACATACCAATTCTCAGGGACATGGCAGGTTGACTTTCAGAAGAACATGATACATACATAAGTCATATTAAAGTTCTTTGTTCTTTAAGAATTCTCTACCACCCTGGGCATGGTGGTTGATGCCTATAATCCCGGCACTTGGGGAGGCCCAGGTGGGCAGATCACTTGAGGTCAGCAGTTTGAAACCAGCCTGGCCAACATGGTGAAACCCCGTCTCTACTAAAAATACAAAAATTAGCCAGGCATGGTGGCACATACCTGTAATCCTAGATACTTGGGAGGTCGAGGTTGTAGTGAGCCGAGATCGTGCCACTGCACTCCAGCCTGAGTGGGTGATCGGGTGAGACTTGGTCTCAAACAAAACAAAACAAAACAAAACAAAACAAAACAAAACAAAACAAAAACGAAGAATTCCCTACCTAAAGATGAAAATTACTCTGAAGAGTAATGAGAAGTTCAAGTCCAGTCTACCTGATGATATGAGGAAGAAAGAGAACTGAGTCCCTGATGAGCCAGGTCGGGGGTCCCATCTGTATAAAGCCTGGGGCCCCTGGGAGGGATGGGACCTCATTCAAGAACTTAATGGGCACACACTTTTCTTTTAAGATTCAAAATACTATGGTGCATCCCCATATTTATGCTTGGGAGGATGGGAAACCATCCTCATTAATCCAAATGACTCAAGACTGACCATCTTCAATCTGTTCAGGGTTATAAAAGGGTGTTCTATTCCTGGAAATAATATAGTGATCCGAATGGCAAACTGTAATCCCCAACAGAATCAATACAGAAGGGTCTGAAGACTCTCACTTGGTGACCGCATACCAGGACGCAACCCACACGTGGGCATCCCTACATGTTCTGTGTGGACCACCTGCCAATCAAAATGAGATCAGTTGCAGCTCCCAGCCCTACTTCTCCCCAAACCAACCTGACTGAACACAAATCCATCCTGATTTCTGGGGGTGGGTAAGAATTCATACTTGGCTTCCAAGCCCTCGATTTAAACAGGCTGAGTCACTCGGGGATGGAAGTATTCAGAAGCTACTGCTCCTGCCAGTGAATCTGGGGGAGTTCTTTGGAATAAGATACATGAGAAGCAAGGCCAGGGCAGAAGATGAGGAGGTGTGCACATAGAAGGCCAGCCAGATACTCAACACATTAGCACCGTGAAAACAGAACCATCACAAAGGATATCTTGCAGGACTGTCCTTAAGGGCATTTAGGAATCCTGTTTGCTGTGAACCTGTGGGAATGAAACCAACATTTAGTATTCAGACATAAAAGCCTTCATGCTGAATGCGCTCTCATCTACATAAAAATAATAGATGGCTAAAGAGCAATGAAATAATTCTATTTTGTAAGTGCTACGGCACCCAGTTTACTGATCAGAGATTAAGACGCCACTAGAGTTTTTCCCCAAGAAAAGGGAGGATTCATAATTAGGCCCAACATCTGCAGGGTATTTTTTCAATAAAAGCAGATGGATGTCTGCACACTTTCCCATAAATTACAGTTCTGATGACTCCTTTGTTTTCCTCATTTTAATAGGAAAACAGAATACTGCATGCTATCTTTTCTCTTCTGTTTTCCCCAAATTTGTTAACTTTTGACCCTGGAAGTTCTGGAAACTAGGCTACATATAAAAGACTTCTTTTTGTACACCCAGAGTAAACAAAGTCATAAAGCTGAAATTTATTAGACTTCTTTTGGGTTTTAGACATTTTAATATGAGCCGTCTTAGGCAAGAAAACATTTCTTTAGGGGCTTGACTAAAGAAGCATCTGACAGAAAGCAATTTTTATTTTATGCATTGACATCATACTTTTAAAAATAAAAAAAGAGGTAGTTTTAACAATCCCATCTTGGGGTAGCAGTGCCAGGTCCCTCTGTGCTGTGGGAAGCCAATGAGCCTCTGGGGACATCATCCGGCCCTTGTGCAGTAAGGAAATGACAAAACAGACGGGTGCTATGGTGTCCCTGTGGCATCTGACCGCAGGCACAGCTGCACTGTGGGACTTAGTGGTAGGGGGTGAGTGGCCACCGCGTCCCCATGTGCCCCACTATGGGTGACCACCTGGGAGGGTGAAGAGTGGCTTGTTCTTCCCAAGGTCCCTTTCCCTCTGTGCCCACGGCCCATGTGTCTGAGTAGTGGGACACAAGGGGTGGGAGAGGCTGTGGAGAGGAGCTGCGTGGAGCGCTCATCAGGAGAAACGGTGCTTCCTCCTCCATCTCTGCCAGCCCCGAAGGGCACAGATGCAAGTGCCTGTGCGGCCACGTGGAGGAAATGCAGCCCTGAGGCAGATGAGGGACCAAAAGAAATGATTTCTCTTTCTCTACTGCACCCTAATTATGTGGCTTGCCTAAACCCTCCTTCCTCTCCAAGGAAATCCAGACTTGGCCTTCCCAGGAATCTTGGAGGCCACAGAAATCTCACCCGCCACTCCCTGTCCAGTCCTTTCTCTAACAGCCCAGGATCCCACAGAGAGACTCAGATGACAGTTCTCTCTGCCTGTGCCAATGTTTTCCGAGGCTTAGGGGGTAACAGGAGCCATGTAAACCCCGTGCCCTTCCCAAAGCATCACATGCCAAGCCAGATAGGGTGGTGGGGTCGTGTCGTGGGGGTCACTGAGGAGGGGGTGTCGAACGAGGGAAAAGGAAAAGTTTTATTTTCTTTTACCCAGAATATTCCAATAACTTACAGGCAGGTAAACTCTTAATACTTTTGTGTAGAAGAAGAGATGCAGTTTTGCAATATTTAAGCATAGACAATAGTAAAATCTAGTTTGGTGGAGCCAGGGTGAGTAAAACCTTAGAGAAGCTGAAAGTGAAATACACATCACAACCTGAGTGCGCTGGCACGTGCAGATTTCACCGTGAGAGTGTGTGTGAGAGCATGTGTGGGCGCAACAGAGTGAGCACAACAGCGTGTGAGTGCAAGAGTGTGTGAGCATACTGGTGAGTATATATGAGTGTGGGTATGGCTAGAGTGTGAGTGTGGGTGTATAGGGGGTGTGTGTGTGAGTATGGGTGTGTAAGGGTATGTGTGTAAGTGTGGGTGTATAACGATGTGTGGATGTGTAAGGGTATATGTGAGTGTATGGTGTGTAAGGGCACGTGCAAGTGTGTGTGGGTGTGTAAGGGCATGCATGTGAGTGTGTAAGGGTGTGTAAGGGTGTGTGGGTGTGTAAGGGTGTGTGTGGGCATGGAAGGGTATGAGTGTGTGTGAATGTGGGTGTGTAAGGGAGTGAGGTATGCATGTGTGAGTTTATTGGTGAGTATATATGAGTGTGAATGTGACTAGAGTGTGTGGGGGTAAGGGTGAGTGTGGGTGGATGTGTAAGGGTATGTGGATGTGTAAGGGTGTGTGTGTGGGTAAGGGTATGTGTGAGTGTGGGTGTGGGTAAGGGTATGTGTGAGTGTGAGTGTGGCTGTGTAAGGGTGTGTGTGTGAGTATATTGGTGAGTATATATGTGTGAGTGTGGCTAGTGTGTGCGGGTGTGTAAGGGTGTGAGTACGTGTGAGACCATGAGCATGCATGTGTGTGTTCCCTGAGTTTATGTATACGACTAATCACGTGACAACTGGCCCTTGATATCCACAATGTAGGGACAAGGCCATAAATACAATCCCATAATATACACAAAAGCATCTTGAGGTTGTTAAAGGTGATATAAAAATACAATGTCTAGGCCTGGTGGGATGGCTCACGCCTGTAATCGCAGCACTTTGGGAGGCTGAAGCAGGCAGATCACCGGAGGTCAGGAGTTCGAGACCAGCCTGGCCAAGATGGTGAAACCCCCTCTCTACTAAAAATACAGAAATTAGCCAGGCACTGTGGCCCACGCCTGTAATCCCAGCTACTTGAGGCAGGAGAGCTGTTTGAACCTGGGAGGCAGGGGCTGCAGTGAGCCGAGATCCCGCCACTGCACTCCACCTGGGGCAACAGAGCGACACTCCATCTCAAAAATAAAAATAAAAATGTCTAAACACTGCCTTTCAGTGTCACGTGTGTGCTGGAGGATCGGTTCGTATTTCTTCCCTAGTTGTGTCAACAACTGCTTCTTTGAAAATAACATATAATGCCCTAGTCGTTCTCTCTGCTTCTTTTGTCTATTAATGCACAGATAGGACCCTAGCCACATTTTTGCCATTTTGAGGACTGCGAAAATAGAGCCAGAGGGTGCCCCTGTCTGCATCCTGCCCAGCTGGTGTGGAAAAGGTGGGAGTCCATTCTCCTCTTGCAAGTCCACCAAGTTATGGCTCTCAAGCACATATTACACATTTGTGTCACATTTGGATGAAAGATTATAGCCAGAAAGAATGGGAACTAGGATTGAAAGTACCTATGAAAATTTGGGATGGTCCATTTAACGGCCCAATTTGACTAATATTCAAAAAGAATGAATGCAAAACATTTCCTCCCACCCACTTCCCCACCCCCATAGGAACCCACCAGAAGAGAAAAGGAAGAAGATGTGCTCCTAACATGAGCCTGAGCCCAGCCCACGCCATTTGTGGTTTGAGCACTTCGGCCTGGGAAGGAAGTGAAGCCTTTGTGCAGATACTTACGGAAACATTCCAGAAAGAAGCTACGGACTTGCTAATGAGGGGTTACGCTTCAGGAATGTAGACAAGAGGCAACACTAGCCTTAATGTTGTGTTTCGTACTGTAATGGAAGTTCAAAGGCCTACATTTATAACTCAATGCAAATTCACTTCCTTCTCATTACTTTCTATTGTAGGAAAGTGAATGACCAAGAGACAAAGGAAATTCAAAGTTACAACCCTCAGAATAGGAAATGAAAAAATGCCATTTGCTTAGGCAAATCGATATTAAAATCATTGATTTCCAAATCTAATTTTTAATCAAAGTTGCTTCCTTTATATGTCAGGGGTAGTTAGCTCATGTTCTAGCAGATACTTAAACATCTTGTCAAATGTATGTTTTTAACATATATAGATTTATGTGCAAGAAAACCTAGTCTTTCTTCCCAGACATCTTTTCTAAGGAGGGTGACTGGTGACTGTTTCTGTATAAGGTGATATCACATTAAGGAAGAAAACCTTGCTCTTCAATGATCATCACTGCAGCACATTGTCCCTTGTGCAAAATGTGGGGATGAGTCTTCCAGGGGACCCGTTAGCAGGAGAAAAAGTGAGGTCACTGAGGTTGGAATAGGGACGTGCGTATCGAGGAGGAGGTATTGTTGGTGAAAGCGCAGCCTGGCCCAGGTGTGACCCCTGGAAAATGCTGTGAAAGATGGGGTGGGGAGTGGGGGATGACAGGGGACAGAGGAGGGATGGAGGAGGGTGAGAAACAAAAGCGAGGCAGGCTGGAAGTGAGGAGGGGAAAGGGAGAAAGAAAGGGAAAGAGAGAGCCCGAAATGATCAAAATATTAAATCAAAATCAAATCAGAAAACCGAAGTCAGGCAAATGGTTACATACGTAATCTGATTTCGCCAGCATACTTACGAAGAATGACGTGGGTGATAACGAATGCAAATATAAAGACTGTCAGAAAAGACAGAGATAAAATAAACATATAAAAAAATCTGTAGTTTCTTTTCCCCACACAGTTGCCTACCCAGGGACAGTGGTGATCAAACCGTTCTGAAATGAGAGGCAGAAAAAAAAAAAGTGGAAATCAATTAATAAAATGTCTTTTTACTTGCAGGAGCCCCGCCCCTCCCACCCAATATTCTGATAATATAAGACAATGATATTATTCTGCATATTTCCAAATTAACTACTCAGAGAAATGTTTCACATCAAGACAGTTCAAGGACATCGTCATTCTTTCAACAGAACGCAGCTGTTTTGAAAAAACAAAGCGTATGCATTCTTCTTAAATGGCAACTTAAAGAAATAGGAGGGCAAATCTCATTTCTTTTGGAAAGTAAAGATTTCTCTCTTTGGTAAAAGAAACCTCTTTGATTCACTGAACAACAGTCCCTTAAGAGGGAACCAGCATCGCCTGATGGTAAGTTCTGGGCTGGGGTAGGATGTCAATCAAGTGACCTTCTTTGCATAGTAAATGGCCATAGAGAGAGGCCACAAGGGGCCTGGGACAGGACAGAGGGGCAATCCTTTGTCCTCAGTTACAACCGTTCATCAGATATCAATCACATTTATTAATACATTTAGCCTCAAAACATTCCTATGAAGAAAATGATGGTGTTACCCTATTTTACAGATGGGCAAACTGAGGCTTAGAGAGATGGGAGACTGCCTGCACCGGGCCA